ATGGCGTCAGGAACGAAGCAGCATAGGAAGAGTATTCTTCAAACGACAATAATAATAATAATTAAAAACTGCCGGATCTCCGCTGGAGACTCCGAGGCACAGTGGAGTAGTCGTCACGATAAAAAATCTAAAGAAACAAAATAAATAGCCTAACGGTCGTCGGCAAATACACGGCCGCGTATTTTTCGGGAACCACAGTTTATGAGACAAACATGCGATGAACGCCGCCAAAGCCAATACACGCGATGTTAAAGCGTCTGTTGCGTAAGCGGCTTCGTCTGCACACAAATGACGCAAACGCTGCAAACCCGAGTGCACATACCAACGCACAGCAGCATCCTCATAAAGTGTGTTTACAAAATACAGTTGAATGGTTCGAACATGATTTCAACCTTGGAGCCAGTCGGAAATCAGAGAAAGGTAAAAGGAAGTTGCAGCATTTATTGACTCTGATTTCTTTTTCGTTAACTACATGAACATAGTCCCAAAGGACGTATAGCGGGGCTCAAAATGAAGTCCTCGGACTGCGCTCGTTTCTTCGCGGCGCTAGCTCGCCGGACCCAGATTTTTACAGAGAAGCTGTTAAGGGCTAGTTTCCCCAGGATCGTGTCCGTCAGCAAACAAATGAAGACACAAAACTCTGGACAGGTACAGCCATATATAACTGACAGCGGCAACCAGACAACCGGTTTGTTGATTGTCTGGTTGCCGCCGTCGCTCATAGATGGCCGGAAACTTGCAGGCTTTTTTACTCTGGGTTGTCGACTTGCGGCCGGCCATTACTTCATTCCCACCATAGTACAGCTTCGCTGGTCTTCCTTCTTCACTAGAGTGGGAAGGCTGAAAGGTTTCTGTTGCTGTTTTAGTTATATGTTTACTATGCACCACCAACTAGCACACCTCAAAACATTAGCCTAATAAGGTTGGCATACGCCATAGGGAGCATAAACTTCGGATATTACTACTAGGCGAGAATCGTCACGCGTTAACGCCACGAAGCGGCAAGCCTCGCAACTACAGTACCCTTGACCGTGCATGAGCTATTGACGTAACAAGCGCGATAGGCATTGATTGCGCTTCTCGCTGATCGACTATGAAGCTGGCCGACTTTGTATGCAGTACATGTTTGGTTAGCACCTAACATGTTAATATAAATACGACACTATATAGACAAAGTTTTCGGGGACCAAGTAGGTAAATGCAGCCATATTTGTCTTGTTATCATAAACAATTACTAGCAATATGGACGATTTTTTTTTTCCGATTCTTTTGCGGTTTGTCGTTGCGACCAATGAAGAATGACGTTTTCTGCTCATATTTCACACGCGAGTAGCCTGTTCTGCAGCCCGGCGCGCAGCAGCAGTTCCGCCGCCGGCGCATTTCGATATTAATTTTAAACGCGTACACTCTGCAGTGTACGTGAAATTGTAGACGCCTCAGAAATATCACTGGAAAAGAACATGCCGGCAAAAAAATGCAATGTCTCATGAACCGCTAAGACTGAATATAGTGTTTAAAACACGAAGTAATGTTCCCCAAACTAGGCGGAATGCCGCGTCGCCATGAACACCCTTTCAGTTGCAGGTGACTGCAGCGCCACTGCAAATTGTGGTTATGCGCGGCCTTACGGGCTCTCATTGCGGACCCGCACCGGTCCCAACAGTATACGCCTTATTTCTGGTACACTGTAACTATATTGCTCGCCCCCCTTACGCCGGCCGTTGGCACCTGCCGATAGTGTCGGACGCCGCGCGAACAAAATCTAGGTCGCCTACATCGGCGGCGAACAACCCATGGCCCGAGCCCACCGCGAGCGCCCGACCTGCATGCGCAGCTGCGAGCATACAAACCGTTTGTTCCGGAAAAATTCTGCGCCATCTATGAGGAAAAGACTATAAATAAATCGCGGGCGAATCCCCCTTAAACAACGGCAAAACGCTCCGTTTAATGTGGCCGCTAGCGTTCCACAAAAAAAAAAGAAATGTGCCGGTATAATTTGGTCCCTCCTACTAATAGGAGTGACCAACACACTACTACTAACTTCAACTTCCAGTTCCTTGTTTAAGGGTATGCGCATCTTTCCCTACTTTTCTAAAGATTAACAAGTTTGATAATATGTAGAATACTTTCTTTTGATTTTAAGAAATTGGGGAGGGGAGGGGGGCGCGGCAGAGACACACAATAGAACAAGTATGTTTTTTAGCGAAGCATCCGATTCCACTCTGAAGCTTTCTGGTGATCAATATTTAAGTTCTTACAATCTTCGATCTCCTTTATGACTTGTTTATAACCTTTTTATGTACAGCCATTTGGCGATTGAACTCGCGTAGAAGGACACTTTTTGCACCAACGTTCATTAAAGTTCTTTCCTATTCTTCCTTAAACGGCTGAAATTCTGGCACAAACAGCCCGACTTAACTATCCCCCCAACTTGCAAACAAAAAAAAAAAATGTATACCACCCTTTCGAAACGCTTTAAAGCTCGGAGGCTCGGAACACCATCTGTTTTGTGATTTCTCAACTTGTGCCTGTAGTGGCGCACACGACAAGGGGACCCTCCTGAGCAATTCTGTATCCAGTTCTCGAATACGCAATTCTGTATTCAGTCCTTATCAACGTATACGCATGTTCAAGTTCAGAGAAACAAATTAGTTAGAAGGATCTTTTGTTTTCAAGGCCCGCTATTGTTTCGTCCTGTCATGTGAGCTGAATTCTTAAAAAAATTCCTGAAAAAATGTTCACTTAAAATAATGCCTGTATATCCACTTTACATCAAAAAACCTGGACAGCAAATCACAACAATCTACGAAGAAAACTTAGCAAAGGACAAGTCCAAAATTATGTACAGACCAAAAAAGTGTGCGATGGCCCATGGGACACTGAGCACACTTTTTTTTTTTTAGGTCTAAGCGCATTTGAATTGTCTTCATTCGCCAAAATTTTTCTTTGGATTGCAGTTATTGACACATCAAGTCCCCTGCAGGGAGTAGACAGGTGGATATGTTTGAGCCTGGAAACCTACCATGATGTGCTGTAAATAAAAGATAGCCGTGGGCGAGGAAATCCACTCTTATGCCATAGTAGTTGCTCACCTTAAATTGGTAAACCTGTTGATAACTCTCAACATCCATCGGTATCTAAATGATTGCGGTCATCAGCCCTTGTGGTACCCTTCAAGAGTTGGACAAGTTAAAGGATCCTAGTTTGAATATTAAAAAGGTTCCGCCAGAGTCTGCACGGTGGTTCCCGTGAAGCGGTTTCACGAGAAGCTTTGTCACTTCCGGTAAGCCGCGAGCGGCCGTGCTGGTAAACGCTTTCCACCATTGTGCATTGTGCTTGATGTCGGTAAAACGCAGACACACGGCGGACGGCTCCTCCAACAACAGACCTCCAAAAACACAATCGGGGACGTAACTGGACGTCATTTGTACCAACCAGAATGGGAGATGAAATGCATTATTATTACTATTATTATTAACCTCTTTGTTTTTTTTTTCCTTTCCTAGACGCCCTGGCGGCGTCTGCTGAAGTCATTTGGTCGCCTACGAGCCGACTTCTCTAGCGCCGGCTCGTCTGAACTTTCAATAAAGACCATATACATATAAACTTTAAAAAATTTCGACTCTCTCAGGTACGTACAAAAGAAACTCTAAATCCATAACATGTATAAATTCTCTGTGATATCATAGTGTCACCTGAAGTCATGGTGCGCATCACGTGATGCTTCGAAATGTCAGCGCCCATCAGGAAAGCACCCGGTCACATGTTCCCACGTCACTTTATCACAAACGCCATGTAAAGTAAGGTCACGTGAAGTGAGTGTCACATGACGCTTCATTGTCACGTGACGTAACGTCGCGATTTCACGCCAAGGTTTCACACGAAACCTTTGTTAAACATGACGTATTTCTTGGAAGTCATGATGTCACGTGACCATGCTACCTCATGCCAGGTGACTACGTGTCGTGACGTCAGGTCATATGAGGCCACACTGTCAAGTGGCGTCAAGGTGTCACGTGAGGCCACGTCAAAATGTAACGTCTGAACCAGGTGACGTCGGATGACATCATGTTACGTTCGTATCATGTAACCTGATGTCAATTTATGATATCTCATGAAGTCATAGTGGCATGTGGCGTCATAGTTTCATGTGCAGCAGTTTGGTTTCCTCTGCGAGAAGTTTTTACAACCCGAGAACACCGTAGACCACTGGTTCTTAAATGGAGGTCTGAGGACCCTTTGGGGTCCACGAAACCCGGCCTCATCACTAAAGCCCGGCAATAAAAGCTGTCTTTTTTCACATCGACAAGAAATGTTTAGTTTTCGGGCTCGTTCTCCCATGTGTATGTCAATAAGAGAAGTCTACTTCACATTAGCCCTTAGTCATATTCATTTATTAAATAATTATTATATTTAACCTTTACCTTTCCCCTCCCTCCCCCACAAACGGGGTCCTCCATCGTCTCCGCCAATTCACAAGGGGTCCGCGAAACATCGATGGTTGACGACCCCTGCCTTAGACGAAGAAGACGTCATCGACTGACGAACGGACATTACACTCGTGGCCATTCCGAGTGGGCTTTTGTTTTCGCAAATCAAGCTCATAAAGCATGAACAGCCTCTCACCACATCGCCGAAATGCCTTCTTACTGCAAGATGACGTAGAGGAAAATATTCCGCCGGAGTAAAGAAGACTCATTCTAAGGCGTTTCTTTTTTCATTGTTCCGGTGCCTTCCTCCTTTGCGTTATATTTCTCGCATTTTCTCTTTAATTCAGGGTCGTTCGAGGGTTGGCTACGTGTATGTCACGCGAAAAGTCCGCAGGAGAGGGTGATACTGGTCAAGAGCGCGCGCTTAAGGACACCTTCTGGCACGGTTCTTCCGGCCTTCAGTTTAAACGAGTTGGGCCAAGGAGGAGGATGCTCCAGGCCACATCTGAAGCATCCCGAGGAGCAGTACCCAACACTCGCTTTCTTCCCGTGAGAACCATTGTTCAGAAAATGAGCGGTCCGTCTTACGGCGTCCAGGCACCGAAGCCACTGTTCCCGGCCATCTCGTTGCTGAGGGGCGTCTTGCTCTGTGCGCTGGGGCTCGTGGTCGGTTATCTGGTTTATCGTTACGTTCGCCGATGGGTCAAAGTGTGGAAGGCCCTCAGGCCGCTGCCCGGACCCACGGACAAGCATCCCCTCTGGTTCATGTTCGCCACTTACATGTCGCGGCGGAAACGCTTCACCCAGCAGGACGCCACATTCGGTGAGTTAACGTCACTGCAGTAAGGACGAGATAAAACCAAATCTTCTAGAGTTCTTTTTTTTTTATATAAGCAACGACCACCAACACGGATGACAAAGCCCATTTTGAACTAACAAAATGGCATCTTTCAGTTCATCCTGGAGCTGGACTCCGCCACTTGCTTCCTAAAAGCCACACCGTCCCGCAGTTGACCCTTCAATGAATGCAGGCCCTTGTAATAAGCACGAAAACTGTTTATTATCTACAATCACTGACGAACGCAAAAGCGTGGCGAATCCCGAGCTTTTTATTATTGTTCTTATGCCAATACGTTTCCGGCGTTATCTGATAAGAACGCCGAAGAAAAAATATACAGGCTGCGGAGCGAGACTATATTGCGCTTCATATGCTGTGAATTACTAGGAACTTCAAATGGATCTTGGAGCACTGCGAGCGCAATGCCACTGTGACAGAGGTGTTTCTATGTGCGCATCCTTCACCGCGATGCCCTTGAGCTACCAATCATCAACATTCTTTAAATGTGTCTAGCCCTATTAGAAGGGCCCTTCCAACAAGCTTTCTTATTGGCTAGAATGTTTTTTTTGTTTTTTTTTTTTTTAAGTTTAATTTTTACCATTTTGAGTGCAGTGTGGAGTAGTATGCATGCGGGGACCTCCAAAAGTGTACGACATACGTCGCGCACTACAGTTCAGCGTTTCGCGTACTTGGGTATTGAAGAGAAGAAAACAAAATATTTTCCAGCGCGACTGCATTTTTTTTTTGTTGGCTTTTCTCATATTTTTTGTTATGCTAGTTTTGTTTGTGTCCTCAGGTGCCGACCCAACATTATCAACAAATCAATCAACAATTTGTACAGGGTGTCACAAAGAACAATTTACAAGGTTATTTTTTCTTGTTTTGTTTTTTTACCGCAAAAGTAAACCAGGCGTCGCCGAACGCTCATTCTCCGCCCAAAGGTAGCGCTAGAGGTCACAACCAGATGCCAAGGTGTCAGCCCGATCTGATACCTTATTCAAAAGTTATATGATTTTCTAAAAATTTTGATGGCATATTGGAGCCCATTTTTGCCCGTATTCAGTTTCTGGTGCCATAGGGCCCCAGGTATTTGAAAAGGCCACCATTTTTCCATTGAAATTTTCAGAAAAACACTTATTACTTTTGAATAAGGTGTCCGTTTGGGCTGAAACTTTGGCATCTGGGTGTGACCTCTAGCGCTACTTTTGGTCGGAGAATGAGCGTTCGGCGATGCCTAGTTTATTTTTGCGGTAAAAAAAACAAAACAAAAAAACCTGTAACTTTTTTTTTTTGCGACACCCTCTACGTTTTGTGTCTTTTCATTTTATGCGTGTATTTTAAATCGTAAAAAACAGCATGAGGTGTGAAGGAAACGCAAAATATAACTCAAACTTACATATCAAACACACACAAAAAAAAAAAACAGTCGAAAACAGACGGACGTGCGGCGAATTATAAAGGCGCAGAAAAGATTTGATCTCGTTTTACGGGCCTCTCGCTTAAACCTCGAACTGTCTTTGAAAAGTTGTTTTGGTAGGGAGCGACCTATACTCCATTTCGTAATTATACAACGCTGTCAAAGCTACTTGCGCGAGAGAGTGGCTTCGTCTATGGTTTCGTTTGTGCGAGAACGCGGGCAAATTTGGTCTCCGAGATCAAACCCGACGCTCGCGCCAGCAGCTTTGACAGCGTTGTACACTAAGTATGAAACAGCGTATAGCATTGGTCCGAGCGTAAATAATTAATTACGGAGCTCGGGAAAATTTCCGTGTTTTCTGAAAGTGAGGGCTCAAAAGTTGGGCAGTAGGCCTTTAGCTAAATTACCCGAGCATCGAAGAGAATGATGGGGACGTAGCGACAAGCGCTGCACGCGCTCGCCTTACGAAAGAATCGAGGTAAATACCCAAAATAAATCGTTTGTGGGACGCGCGTGCCAAGTTCAATTTGTTTTAGATTTTTGCTTTCGAACAGTTACAGATGCAGACGCCAGCACGCGCAGCGCGTGTACGTACGTTCCCGCCAGTTTCTTTAAGGGGTATTCACACGAGGGAGAAATCCCGGGGATTTCTCCCCGGCACGCGCACCCCACGACGAAAACGTCAGGCTTTGCGATGTGCAAAAGCCTCGCGTTTTCATCTCGTGATGCGCGCGTGCCGGGCAGAAATCCCCGGGATTTCTCCCTCGTGTGAATACCCCTTAAATGTTGGAATAATTCGGCAAAATGTATATTTCACCGCATTAATATCATTCCGCCTTTAAAAAAAAAAAACTATTTCTTTTACGGTGGTTATATTTATCGCTAGCATTTTTCAAGTCATGAATTGCACCGTTGAATACCATAAAGCACCCTTGCTTGTTTATTTTACCCTCTAATTCATGGTTTTTCATACTTTTTTAAGCGTTTGATTTCTCGCATTGAGTTTATTCAACAATAATAAACGTATGAAGATTTATTGTTGGATACCACTCCTAAACACGTCCAGGGTTTATTTGCACGACCAGCGAGAGGTTTCCAGCACTCGGCACGCCCCAGCGGAAAATCGAGATTTGTTTTGACCCTTCGGTAATCAGTTGCTTGCTGTGCTAGTTTAAACCACACTTTGAAAGCAAAATTACATGAAACGGACTACTTAAAAAAAAGATCACTGCCAATAAAAACAATATCGCCTGAGCTTCCTAACAGCGTACACGTTCTAAACAAAAAAAACAACAAAAAAGTTTTTGAAAGGACTTCTCGGGCCTTTATAAGGCCCGAGAAGTCCTCGGGCCTTATAAAGGTTTTAGAACGGTCATGGAGAAAGGTTTCGTCTTAAACACTATCGCCCCATGGCTCACTAGAAAGGCAACTGGGCGATGAAGAACTTTTTCGCATAACGGAAAGGAGCTTCTAAGAGCACCTTATAGGTTCTGTCACGAAGGACCGTTTTAGATAAAACTGAAAGACAATGGGGTGGAGAGGACTGAAGAGACACGAAGGCGCAACACGAGAAGCAATTACTGCAGGTTACTAGCGCTAACAATTCACGTATACCAACACAATTGCAGGGCAATTCTTTTTTTCTGCGCTCGAGTACACTTTTTACATCCTAAGTTTTCCATTCTTCTAACGTCCAAAAGAGTACAACTACGTGTCTCTACTATTGTTCTTGCCGCTACTGGTTACGTAAGAGTGCAGCCAAACATCTCACGGAGAGTAACGACGCCCATCTACGTGGAACATCCTTGAGGAGCACGGGTAATTCGAGACGCGGGTAAAAGTGCTTCCGCTGGAAACGTGAAGAGACGCACGTCTTCCTTTCTCGTGAGCTAACGTCCAGAATGGCGCGTCTCCAAGACGACTGGACGGCCGACCGTGCCAAGATCCTGAGGCACGTAACGGAAAGAGCGAATGTCAGAGAACCGGGCACACGCACACTAGTGCCTGTGTGCCCGGTTGGCACATTTGAAGAGATGGTTCCTTCGCACTAATAATTGGCGTTTACCTAAAAAAAAACCACAAAAAACAGGGTGTCTTATTTTAAAGTTTTAGAGATTTGGTTAAAAAAAAAGCTGTGAAGGTTACACTAGATTTTTATATGCTAAAAATAAAACAAATTTAGGTCTTTCTGATATACTACTATACGATTAGAGGGCGTATTTTTGTCATCGTGACGCTTATTGGGGGCTAAACATTGCCGCAACTTGTATTCATAATAAGAATAAAGATATTTTAATACGTAGTTTTTTAAGCTCTAATACAATTGTTGCTTATGATCTAGCTTCAAACGCGCGAACGAGTATAGCAATCAAAAGTGCTCGAATTATCATCACCAGTGCCAGTTGCAGCATTTTTATTTACAAGTTACAAGATAAAAAGAGTCTAATATCAGTGAAAATATTCTAGCTAATTTGAGGCAGCTATTTAAAATTACATTAATTGTGGGTAAAGCATATTGTGCTAACAAAGTCCCGACATTTGACAATCCACCAAACTTTCAAAGTCGCCGCCTCCCCCCCCCCCCCCCCCCCCAATCCCTCTAAACCAAATAACCCCCCCTAAAAAAAAAAAATATATATATATATTTTTTTTTGTTCTACGAATTTTTTTTAGAAAGTTTAGTTCCTTTTTTAAGTGCCGTCGTTTCGCCAATCTCAGCCTTTGCAGTTCGAGGGAACGCCTACCCGCTTGCACGTCTGCTCACTAAAGCAAGTTTCTTTGGCGTTGAAAACCGGTGAAACAGTAGTGAGTTTTAGTTAGACTTGTGCTCGTTACTGAAAAAATGTAATGGACTACAGTTACAAATTACGGAGCCTCAAATGTAATGAATTACCGCTACAAATTAGCTTCGCTGAAAAGTAACGGATTACTTTACTCGTTACGTTACAAATCACTTTCACGTTACTTTTTCCCTACACTTATCCAGAAAACAACAAAAACAATTTTGATATTTTTTAAAAATGTTCTGCAACCCTACTTTTAACTTCTCATACGCCCGTATTATGATAGGCCTTGTAAAAATAAAATGTATTTAAGGGAAAAAGTATACGTGCATTCCTTTCCTCTGTAAGAAGGCACCGAAAGCTGCACCCACACCCGCCATTTCGCTAGCTTACGGCCTCCGGAAATGATCCCTGGAATTGTGCAGACAAAGCTAGCGGTGCGTATACTCAGTAGCAGCGTCTACCTCCTCTACAAGATCCGGAGCTAAAGAGGCGATCTCCGACAGCTCACTTTTCACTCGGGCGTTTCGCCTGTTATCCACAAGAAAAGAAACACTTGGTTCTAGCGTTACAATGTATAGCAAATGCAGAATGCAGGTGTTCCAGCATACCTTGATGTGTTTCCGTAGATTAGAGTTTGTTGTTCTTTCTGATGTGTGCTTTTTTGCCAAGAAAAGTATGTACTGAAACTCTAAGTTTCCGTTCTCTTGAATGCCCTGAATTTTAAACATCTCAATAAGAGATGGCCATGGAGACGACGGAGACTCCATGACCGAAAACTCGAC